TAATTACTGCATTTGTGGGAGATTCATGTTTGCATGTTTAGCTTCATTTTTAACTTTTTGGTTTTTTTTTTTTTTTTTTGGTTTTTTTTTTTTTTTTTTGTAATAAAACATCTTCAGTAAGCAGCTGTCTGAGGCTTGTGTTCCTGGGTGTTGCACCTCACGGTACTTGTTGCTTTTTGCCCGCCCACTAGGGGCAGCACTTGAGATGGAACCTCCAGCTCTGGACCCCTTTTTACTGTTTGTTTTTTGCTCCGTGGTGCCCCGCAGTGCAGAGAGCGGTCAGGTGTTATGTCTGCTAGTCTGGAATCTACCTCTTTTGGGATGTTTAATGTGGGCTGCCTCCTTTTTTTTTTGGGGTGTGGGGGAGGATTTCAAGTCCAACCTTGATTCTGCCTGGTTTACCATGATGGCTTTTGCCTCTGATTCCAGTGCTGAGTTGTCCCCATCCACTACACCCCTCTGTTGTGATGGTGTCATCCAAATCTGACTTGAGTGACACCATCCTTATGATCTTGAGGCGCGACGAACTGTAGCAGGCAGCTGATTGGAGCTGCAGTGCCCACCTGCCCCTTTAAAGCTGAACTCGGGGGGTAGAAAAAGAAAATAGCATTTTCGCCATCTGCTCCCGCTGACAGGAGCCAGCCCTTTGAAAGACTTTAATGCTGAAGGCGTGAGTGGGAGGAGAGTCCGGGCGGAGGGCCCGCCTTCCCCAGTGAGTGGGAGGGGAGTCCGGGCAGAGGGCCCGCCTTCCCCAGGGAGTGGGAGGGGAGTCCGGGCGGAGGGCCCCGCCGTCTCCAGGGAGTGGGAGGGGAGTCCGGGCGGAGGGCCCGCCGTCTCCAGGGAGTGGGAGGGGAGTCCGGGCGGAGGGCCCGCCGTCTCCAGGGAGTGGGAGGGGAGTCCGGGCGGAGGGCCCGCCTTCTCCAGGGAGTGGGAGGAGGGCCCGCCTTCTCCAGGGAGTGGGAGGAGGGCCCGCCTTCTCCAGGGAGTGGGAGGAGGGCCCGCCTTCTCCAGGGAGTGGGAGGAGGGCCCGCCGTCTCCAGGGAGTGGGAGGGGAGTCCGGGCGGAGGGCCCGCCGTCTCCAGGGAGTGGGAGGGGAGTCCGGGCGGAGGGCCCGCCGTCTCCAGGGAGTGGGAGGGGAGTCCGGGCGGAGGGCCCGCCGTCTCCAGGGAGTGGGAGGGGAGTCCGGGCGGAGGGCCCGCCGTCTCCAGGGAGTGGGAGGGGAGTCCGGGCGGAGGGCCCGCCATCTCCAGGGAGTGGGAGGGGAGTCAGGGCAAAGGGCCCGCCATCTCCAGGGAGTGGGAGGGGAGTCCGGGCAAAGGGCCCGCCGTCTCCAGGGAGTGGGAGGGGAGTCCGGGCAAAGGGCCCGCCGTCTCCAGGGAGTGGGAGGGGAGCCCGGGCGGAGGGCCCGCCGTCTCCAGGGAGTGGGAGGGGAGCCCGGGCGGAGGGCCCGCCGTCTCCAGGGAGTGGGAGGGGAGTCCGGGCGGAGTGCCCGCCGTCTCCAGGGAGTGGGAGGAGAGTCCGGGCGGAGGGCCCGCCTTCTCCAGGGAGTGGGAGGAGGGCCCGCCGTCTCCAGGGAGTGGGAGGGGAGTCCGGGCGGAGGGCCCGCCATCTCCAGGGAGTGGGAGGGGAGTCCGGGCAAAGGGGCCCGCCGTCTCCAGGGAGTGGGAGGGGAGTCCGGGCGGAGGGCCCGCCGTCTCCAGGGAGTGGGAAGGGAGTCCGGGCGGAGGGCCCGCCGTCTCCAGGGAGTGGGAAGGGAGTCCGGGCGGAGGGCCCGCCGTCTCCAGGGAGTGGGAGGGGAGTTCAGGCGGAAGGCCCACCTACCTGATGACACAGACTGTTCCCATTTGCTGACTAATAATTAATGGGCTTTACCCTTTTAGAGGTAGAGCGATCCATGGGGGGGGATAAACACGACTCGCTCACCAGTACCAGCATGTCCATGAGAGATCATGGGTCAGTGCTCAGCTGAGCTTCCAGTCTAAATCTGCCCATTCCAAGATGTTTTTTTCTCTTTTTTTCCCGAAGGCAGCTACAGCCTGGGTAGATAATCCTGTCCCCTGCCAGCGTGCTGCACAGAATCTTTGTTCTCTCTGGAAGCAGTGGCCTCTCTGCAGAGGTTCAACACGCCCCCTGCCAAGTCAGATCTAGTGCTCTCCAGCTAATGCTTCCTGCTGTTTGTAGAGCTGCCTCTAGGTTAGACTTGCAGGGGAGGGGGATGCGTTGGAACTCTTTGCAGAGAGGCCACTGCTTCCAAACAAAGGTCCAACACCACCCCCCCTCTCTCCAATCAGGAAGCATTAGCTTTGCCAGTTGGAGAGCTCTAGATCTGACTTGGCAGGGCGGCATGTCGGACCTCTGCAGAGAAGCCGCTGCTTTCACATAGAGCAAGGTCTCTTCTATGCAGCATTCTGGCAGGGGACGGGCTTTTCCGTTCTGACATTGAAGGACCCTTTCTGTCTGTGGGGAAGCAGTGGCCTCTCTGCAGAGGTCCAGCACACTCCCTGCCAAGTCAGGGCTCTCCAGTCAGCAAAGCTGATTGGGAGAGCTCTAGCTCAGACTTGCAATGGGGGGGTGTTGGACCTCTGCAGAGAGGCCACTGCTTCCACACGGAGGGCAAGGGTCATCCTCTGCGGCATTTTTTTTCTCCTATGGATGCCCCTGAAATGTATTTTGATCATTTTAAAGTGAGAGGTCGATGGGGCGTTATGGTCGGTATAGGTGGGTCAGAGACAGGCTGGGTGGGGGAGGGGTAAAGGGGATTTTGTATTGTGTTCCTGGTTGGAGTTCAGCTTTAAGGGGACATACTGTATGTAAATATTTCTGCGATGATCTCGGCGGCCCGGGACGGTTATCTGTTAGCCGGAAGTTGCATCTCCATTAACAAGGACGGCGGGGAGCCCGCGTTGTCGGAGAGCCCGCGTTGTCGGAGAGCCCGCGTTGTCGGAGAGCCCGCGTTGTCGGAGAGCCCGCGTTGTCGGAGAGCCCGCGTTGTCGGAGAGCCCGCGTTGTCGGAGAGCCCGCGTTGTCAGAGATCCTTCTAACAAACTTCTTGGTTTTTGCATTTTCTTTTTTTTTCTTTTTTTTTTCATATTTTTTCTTTTTTAATTCTTCTGGATTTGGCTGCAGAATAAAGCCGCTGGGATTAAATGCCAGCAATGGGGGGGCGGCGCTCTGGAGCAGCCCCTCCTATTCTCTGTTGGGGGAGGGGCCTCTCCCGGTGTCAGACAGATGGGGGCCAGTTTTTTTTGCTTTTCCAGACCTGTATGTGATCCTATCTTGGCTCTCAGCCACCCAGATTTGTTAAATAAAATGCGTTTTTTTTTTTTTTGTAGACGTCTCGCCTGGCTTTCTTTTATCTTCGATTTTATTAAAGGGACACTCCGCTTTAATAACTCAGTCATGTACACGGCGGGGGTTTAGACAGCCCTGGGACTTGATTGCGGGTCAAAAGCCCGCGCATCCGCATTCAATGAACATCTTTTGGAGTTGCATGTATACTTTGTAAATGGGGGTCATCCACCTGGCTCTTGCTTGTTACGGGCCTGTGTCATTCTCAGGACTGGATGGACAAATACAAATCCTTTGGCAGGTAAATGTCTCTCGTGTCTACTTGGTCAAGATGGGATTTGGCAGAAGACGACTTCTAGTGCAGTTTTATGGTTCCTCCTTTGGTGTTAAAGCTGAATTCTGGGTGCAGAGATTTTAATTCACCTTTTTGCTGCCAGAGCCAGTTCTGCATTTTGTTTGCACACGTTTAATCAGCTTAGAGCTGAAGGTTGGTTACAACTATTTTCCTAAAACATCACCCTAGAGCAGTGCTCTTCAAACTGTGGCCCTTTGCTTTTATTCCTTGGGGTGCTATTCCTCCCACTGACACCAAGGATGGGACACTATTCCTCCCACTGACACCAAGGATGGGACACTATTCCTCCCACTGACACCAAGGATGGGACACTATTCCTCCCACTGACACCAAGGATGGGACACTATTCCTCCCACTGATACCAATGATGGGACACTATTCCTCCCACTGACACCAAGGATGGGACACTATTCCTCCCACTGACACCAAGGATGGGACACTATTCCTCCCACTGACACCAAGGATGGGACACTATTCCTCCCACTGACACCACGGATGGGGGTGCCATTCCTCCCACTGACACCACGGATGGGGGTGCCATGCCTCCCACTGGCAACAGCGATGGGGCACAAATTCTCCCCTTGACATCAATGATAGTTGCAATATTCTACTAATGCAAGAGATGGAGAAAAAAAATTCTCCTACTGATACCAATGCAGAGACACTATTACTTCCTTTGACACCAAAGATCGGACACTATTCCTTCCACTGACATCAGAGATGGGGAACAAATTCTCCCACTGACACCAATGATGGGACAATATTACTTCCTTTGACACCAAAAATGGGGCACAAGTTCTCCCACTGACACCAATGATGAGACACTACTCTTTCCACTGACAACAGAAATGGGGGCACAAATTCTCCCCCTGACACCAATGATGGGAAAATATTACTTCCTTTGACACCAGAGATGGGGCACTATTCCTCCCACTGATACCAATGATGGGGCACTATTCCTCCCACTGATACCAATGATGGGGCACTATTCCTCCCACTGATACCAATGATGGGGCACTATTCCTCTCACGCCAACGATGGGGCACTATTCCTCCCACTGACACCAAAGATGGGGCATTATTCCTCTCACTGACACCAAAGATGGGGCATTATTCCTCTCACTGACACCAAAGATGGGGCATTATTCCTCTCACTGACACCAAAGATGGGGCATTATTCCTCTCACTGACACCAAAGATGGGGCACTATTCCTCCCACTGACACCAAAGATGGGGCATTATTCCTCTCACTGACACCAACGATGGGGCACTATTCCACTGACACCCATGATGGGGCACGATTCCTCTCACTGATGCCAACGATGGGGCACTATTCCTCCCACTGATACCAATGATGG